GCAGCACCATCATCAGCATCATCATCATCAGACTCATCCTCGTAAACATCAACACCCGCATAATCATACGCATCGTCAACATCATCCTCATAGTCCTCGACATCGTCGACGACAACGTCGTCATCAGCATCATCAACAGCAACACCAAGATCACCATCACCATCATCATCATCATCATCAGCAGCAGCAGCATCAGCATCGTCATCATCATCAGCAGCACCCTCATAATCATGGCCATCATCATCATGACCGTCGTCGCCGACGACGACGACTTCATCCCCATACTCAACGACGAAATCACCATCGTCACCAGCAACATCAGTCATCATCATCATCATCATCATCATCATCATCATCATCATCATCATCGTAAACGTCGGCGTCGTCGTCGCCGTCTTCCTCCACCGCCTCCTCTGCCCACTCATCATCATCATCAGCATCATCATCATCATCATCATCATCATCATCAGCATCATCATCATCACGATCATCATCATCATCATCATCAGAACCATCATCATCATCAGCATCATCCTCTTCATCATCAGCATCATCAGCATCAAAAGCATCAACATCATCATCATCATCATCAGCATCATCATCATCATCATTATCAGCATCAGCAGCCGCGTCATCATGAACAGCAGCATCAGCATCAGCAGCATCAGCATTAGCACCATCGATAGCATCAGCATCAGCAGCATCAGCAGCAGCGTCATCATCATCATCATCACCACCACCATCGCCATAGACATCACTAACCGCATCATCATCATCACCACCACCATCATCATCATCCTCATCCTCATCCGCAGTATTATCCTCAGCATCATCATCATCATCAGCATCATCAGCATCATAAGTTGCAGCACCATCATCATCATCACTACGTCCACCACCATCATCGTCATCAACATGCCCATCATCATCATCATCATCATCACCATCGTCATCGACATCGGCATCGATATCAACATCGTCATCGTCAGTTGCAACAGCATCATCATCAGCATCAGCATCAACATTAGTATTAGCACCACCATCATCGCCATCATAATCATCATAATCTCCACTCATCGGCACGATCGCCTACTGTGCCAGAACCATACCCGTCGTACCATCACCACGGTGTCGCTCATGATTCCATTCTACAGCCCATCCTCATACTGCTCGCCCATCGCTCCCATCAGCCCGATCCTTCTTATCTCCAATCCCTCGCATCCTTATCAATTATTATTTTACCATCCTCATCATCTCAATCCTCCTCGTCCTTCTCATCGTACTACCGATCATCCATCCGTCTCTCCCGCCGGATCCTTCTCTCCCTTCCCCCCTTCCTCGTCAATATGATTCATCTCTTCCGCCTCCTTACAGCACTCCTCATGTCGTCTGGCCATGCCAACGGTCCCAATCCCTTTCATGTATCCCCTCCCGGTCACCACCACCATCATCATCATCATCATCATCATCATCATCATCATCATCATCATCATCATCATCATCATCATCATCATCATCATCATCATTATCATCAGCATCATCATCATCAGCATCATCAGCATCAGCATCAGCATCAGCATCACCAGCAACACAGCCACCACCAGCATCATCACTACCAGCATGTTCATCATCCCTACGATCACAAAACCACCATCATCATCATCGTCGCCATCATCAGCATCATCATCATCATTATCATCACCCATCATCATCAGGATCAGCATCATCATCATAATCATAATGCTGATCAGCACGGTAATAGTAATCATCATCATCACCATCATCATCAGCCTCAGCATCATCACCATCGTCGTCATCAGCATCGTCATTATTAGCGGCAGTATCATCATCAGCATCAGCATCAGCATCAGCATCAGCAGCACCACCACAAACTGCAGCATGGTAAAAAACAGCATAACCGTGAGCATAGCAAATACCAGCATAAACACAATCATCATCGTCATCGTCGTCGTCGTCTTCGCCGTCGTCGGTCCAGTATTGTACTCCGCCGTCCTCCTTCTCCGAATCATCATCATAAACAGTGTCATCGTGATCCTCCTCGTTCCCCAGCTCACCCTCCTCCTTCGCATCATATTATTCCTCGTCCTCCTCATCATTATCCTCCTACTCCTCCTCCCATGCCCTCTTCTCCTCCGCATCCTCGCCCGCCTTTCCCATCCTCCTCAGCATCACCATCACCATAAGCAAGCCGCACCCCGAAAACTGACAGGTTTCGGCGCTGCAACTCTTCCGCGGAGCACGAAGTAACACCCTTGAAGCTGGCACACTTCTCGCTGTCGCGGTGGTGCGGCTCCAGGCACATCTCGCACATGGCGTGCGCCACCTGAGGGCGCCGAAGGGCCAGCCTGCCCCTGCGCACACACTCCCGCCCCCCCCCCCTTACCCCCGAGAGGAATGCGATCTGCGCAGTGCTTTCCGCGGGGAGGGGGGGGGGCGGCAGCGAGCTCGCTTCCTCTCACTACCCCTCTAAGCCTCAGTCCTCACTCCTGAAAAGTCTTTAAGGGGTTCGGAACCCCTCGGCCCAAATCTCTTGGGGCGTGGCGCGGTTCCCCTGGGGCTCCCCTAAGAGCGCCCGCATAAATATTTCGGGCCCAAGAAGGCCTCAAGACGGGCCCAGAGGGCACCAAGAAGCCCCCAAGACGGTCCAAGAGGGCCCCGAGTCGCCGGAAGATCGCTCCAAGACGCTCACGGTGGCCCCCAGACTGCCCGAAAGGCCTCCGCGACGTCCAAAGAGACCTCAGCGAGGCTTCCCCAGAGGCCAACAGCATCGATGTGCCTTCGGTCTTTGGAAGATTTGGGCGTTCTCGCGTTTTGGGCTTCCCGGCGCTCCCAGACGGCCACGAAGGCCCCCCAAACCGCCCTAAGACGGCCCAAGAAGCATCCAAGAGGACCCCCACAAGGCCCAAGAGAGCTCCAAGACAGCTCAAAAAGGGGCCCAGAAGAGGGAACACGAACCGAAAATCCGAGCTGTCCGCCCCAAGAGGCCCCCAGGAGGCCCAAAGAGGCGCCCAGGAGGCCCCAAGAAGTCCCCGAGAGGCCCAGGGAAGCCCCCAGGAGGCCCAAAAAAAAATCCAAAACGCCTCCAAACGGCCCCCAAGAGGCGTCCACTGCTTCCAACAGGCCCCCGAGAAGCCTCCTACGAGATCCCAACAAACATTCAATAGATTTCATACCCACAAGCCAGGCCCGATGGCGGGATCGGCCGAAAGCCACAAATACGTCGTGCGTCCCTCTCGCACACGCGTATATATATATATATATACACATATATATATATATATATATATATATATGCGTGTGCGTGCACCAACCCAACCATACATACATACATACTTCGGGTACACATACATACGTACGTACATACATACATACATACATACATACATGTATACAAACGTACATACATACATACATACATAAATACATGCATACATATATTCATATGCATGCATATATACATACGTACATGCATACATATATATGTGTACATATACATAAGCACATGCAAATATGAATACACACATATAATATACATGTATATATTACGTATATACATGTGTGTGCACTGATGTGCACATGCATATGCATGGTATGTGAATGTGTAGATGTGTACGTACATGTATATGCATGTGTAAATGTATGGGTACGTGTCTATGTGTGTATGTGTATGTGTGTATGTGTATGTATATATATATATAGAGAGAGAGAGAGAGAAAGAAAGAAAGAAAGAAAGAAAGAAAGAAAGAGAGAACAACAATCCTCTGACGGTCGGACCCCACATGAAAATCGATGTAAATTGCCCCTCGCCTTTCCTTTTTTCGTCTGGCGGAAGGTTCCGTTCGCCCTCTCCCTCCTCCTCCCCCTCCTCATCCTTATCCTCCTTCTCCTCTTCCTGCTCCTTCTCGTCTTAGCCATTGCATGTCTCATCCTCTTATTTTTCCGCCTCCTCCTCCTCTGCCGCCCCCCCTTCACTTCCTCCCTCTCGTCCTCACGTTTCTCCTCTTCCTGAGCCCTTGGCTTGCCCTCCTCCACTTCCTCCTCTTTCCCCCCCTCCTCATCGCCGCCCCGCTCGTTCTCCTCCTGCACATGTCCTCCCTCCTGGCAGGGGCGCGCGCAGATTTTCTCGGCGCCCTCGCCGCCACGGCTGACAAAGGCACGTTTTCCGACAGCGAAAGACAGCCCCGCGGGCCAGACCGTCGGGACAACCCCGCGAGCCGCTGGCGCGCGAGACCAAGCCGTTGGGACAACCCCGCGGGTTCCAAACGGGGCGCCGCTGCGTTCAGGCGGGGGGCAGCACGAAGCCCAGCTTTGCCGCGAGCTGCTTCGCTTCTGCCCTGGAGCTCCCTGCTCCGAAGTCGAACTCCAGGATGGCCTTCCGCAAGGATGCCGGCGGCCTTCGTTCCAGGAGCTCTCGCGGCGGCGGCCGCAGGCTCAGCATGTTCCGCATGTACATGGCGCGGGGGAGCATGACGTAGAGGTGCAGCCACTTGTGCTCGTCCGACATGCCCGTGCGACCAGTGTCCTCACCCCTCACTCAGTCGATGGCGACGCCAATGCGCAGCGTCTGGCCCTGCGACAGCGTGGATCCAGGTGAGGTGCGACGCGTGCGTCATGGTGAACACCGATAACCCCCTCGGATTTCAAATAATCCCCGAACAGCCCCCAACAAAGCCCAAAAGGACACCACGAAACCCCGAGGCCCGGTAAACCTTCCGGGAGGCTCCCAACAAGCCTTCCATGAAGCCCCCAAGCCGCCCCGGCGTTGCCATGGCATGCTTCGGGCACGCGGGCCCATGACAATAACAAAGTTGCCGACGACCAGCTCGGACGAGGCTACCCGCAACTCACTCATTAACAAAGCTCCCGCCTCACACTCCCCCAAGATTCATGCCTCAGGAGCCCAATTTCCGATGACCCGCCTCGGATTCGAACGTAAACTGCAGGCCCCATAGGGACGGGGGTCTCGCCTGAGACGTCCC